CCCTTAGTGGATCACATCGTCTTACCTGAGTTATCTGCCCTTAGTGGATCACATCGTCTTACCTGAGTTATCTGCCCTTAGTGGATCACATTGTCTTACCTGAGTTATCCTCTGGTGCTCGGGTTAATGTGTGGTAATGAGTACTTGCTCAATAAAATTTTTGAATGAGTAGGCAAATGAAGGCAGTTAAGAATTCCAAATGAATTTCCTTTACCCTCTTTTATTGCCCTAGTAATATGAAACACGAATGATCCTTTCCATGCCAGCTCTGAGGAATGATTGAGGGGAACGGAAAACTCAGTAGAAACCCAAATAAGAATCTCCTCAAGATGTTTTTTCCTTAGAATTTTTTATCTAAGAAATTCCTAGATAAGTCCTGTTCTCTTTATGATAAACAATGCTGATATAATGTTATTATCATGTGTTAAATGAGAACACAGTAGAGGAAACATTCGCTGTAGAGAAGTGATTCAAAGTTGGATTCATTCTGTTAGTAAACTCCTCCTAAATTGAAAATGACATTGATTTTTACTATAGTACCCTGTTATCGGTCTAAGAGCCATCTCTAGTATACATTGGAACACAAATGTGCTTATTTCTTAAAGTCATCTGAATTGCTCTGACTAAATCATAAATAAGGAATAGGATATATTCTCAAAAAATGGAAGAAAATTATTTTACTTCTGATAATCTTGGTCCTTAGCTCCTCCGTGCCCCGCCCCCATCCCCACCCCTATCAGCGAGTGTTTACTGCTTGAGATTGTACAAAGTATGGGAAGTTACAAGAGACAGTTTTGTTGCTTGTACCCGCAGGGATTCTAAAGTGATGGGGAGGAAGTATTTGACTAAAGAAACAATTAGAAGATGAGGCCGTAACGCGCTCGTTCAGATTATCACGGTGTTAAGTAGAACACAGGTGTGCTCAGAAGCCAGTGATAAGTCATCAACGATCAAGAGTCTGGATTAGGAGAGTCTTCATGGAGCAAGTGGCCTGAAATTAGACCAAGAAGGCAGTGTTCGTGTGAGGCGAGAACAGGAGTGTTTGGCAGTGAGGGGTGTGAAGCAGTGAGGAATCGAGCATCATTCAATGGAAGGTTCTTACATGTTCTTTGGGCAAATATCCATTGCCCATTCCTTGTAATCTTTTGGACCAGACATGACCGCCTTGGATGTAGACGTGAACGAGTACTGCCTCTTCCACATGGGCCATGCAATAGAATGAAGAAGCAGACCTTGAACCACACAAGTAGATCTATAATTTAACATTGGGTAAGTGTCGTGAAAGGAGGAGAACATAGGAGAGAGAGTCATCTCCATTCTTTGAGCTGTCACTTTGTGGCTGCTTAACTCCAGTAGCTTCCTGTGCTCCTGCGCTATGGTCTACTCGACTTGCCAAACCTTCCTTCAATACCTACTGGGTGTGACTCCTGTGGAGCTCTGGGATCTGTCTTCTAGGCTACCAGGAAGAGAGCCGTGTGAGGAATAGCCTGTGAGAGGGGCTTCTGAAGAGGTCTGAACAAAAGGAAAGCGCAGGGCGTGGGAAGGACGCTTAGATAAGAATGGGTCCCCAAAGCATGTCTCTTTGGCAGCCAAGCAGGGTTGTTCAGATTTGATGCGGCCACCTGATAGTGAGAGAAATACGAGGAGACATCAAAACATTTGTGGGAAAATTCCATTATCTTCTAATTCTATTTTCCCACCAACTCTTGGAAGCCCCCTTGTATGGGGGCGGAAATGTGAATGGAGGAGGGATTTTTATGCCAGAAGAGGCCAGGGCGAATGCTTAGGGAGTAACCCACGCATAACGTGATAGCAGAAACCAGAGGGAGGAATGGATCCGGAAGGTATTCTAGAAACTGGATCGGACTGGGTAACTGACTGAGGAAAGAGCTGTTAGAATGGGCTGAGGTGACTCGGGCCCTTTCAACAGTTGTGGCCGCCATGATGGCAATGGAGATGGTGTCCCTTCCTTGGGGGACGCTGGACCATGGAGGCCTTCATGTATCCAGCTGGGGATGGACTACTGAGGTGAGAAACTGAGTCTTCAGTAGAAAAGTGATTGGGGAAGGTAAAATTATGTGAACCCAGAAGAAAAAGAAACATGAAGGGCTAAAACCAGGGCCCAAGGTTTGAGAGATCGCTAGTGCTAAGGGGTAGGAGAAGGAAAAGATGCCAGAAGAAAGTGAGAGTTATGTGGGGGCTGGGAAGAGGAGCAAAGGGAGAAAGAGTTCTCTTTGTTTTCCGAGCGGTTAACAGCGCGGGCTGTCAGGTAAGCCAGTGCTGTCTGGGCAAACTAGAGGTGTTATAGGTAGCATGACCTGTAAGTTCCAGCAGTTTCTCATTCATACCCACAGAAGGCTTGTGGAGAGCTGCAAAAATGACCAAAACGGAGCTTCCCACCCCAAGCACTTTCAATTTGTCAGAGTGAAAGATATGAAATTGCTGCTTTAACAGCTAAAGGCTGCCTGCCTGGGAGTCATGTCATGTGGGAGAGGGAACCACGAGGGTCTTTAGCAGAGGGAGGATGGTCAGAAGCTCAACCATTGCAATCCAGTCACCCTCCTGCATAATTTACTCTGTGGAAGAAGAATGGTTAAAAGTCAGATTTATGTAGAGTCAGTGGGTTCCATTACTCTACGTATATATGTGAATTTCTGAATTATACCTCACCTGACACTGTTAGCATTCTGTGCCTTCTCCTTAATTTTCTTCTTTTCTCCACCGTCACACCCACCGCCTGCCTGCTAAGCCCAGTGAGCAGCAAGCTGGTGGAGATACAAGAGTCCATTTACCTGGCTGATATGT